CCTTAGCAGCGAAGCACAAGATGGGCAGTCGGTGGGTGGTGGGCAGCGGGGGCCGGATCTCACCCTGCGTTTGGAGGCGCGGGAGAGGGAGGAGGGCGACTTGTACGGCGTGGGGGCGGGAAGAGAGAGTAGGTGATAAGGTAGGGGTAAGTAAGAGAGGGGGTTTCTCACTCACACGCAAAACGAGAGGGTGAGCAGGGGGTTCAGGGGGGCCCCCCAGGGGTTTACCACGTGTGTGTCGCAAAACACACACACACACACACGACCCCTCTTCCCCCTTCACTCCCCCCCTTCTACACCCCCCCTCACCTGTGTAAATCTGTCCACACCCGCGTACATATCCTTGGCCGTCAGCACGCTCCTTCCGCCGTCCCGGACCGCCGTCATGGCCGCCTCGTTCACGATGTTAGCCAGGTCGGCGCCCACCAGCCCCGGCAAATCCCGCGCCAGCTGTAGCAGGTCCACATCCGGCGCCAGCTGCTTGTTACGGAGATGTAGCTTCAAGATCTCGTACCGGCCCTCCGTGTCGGGCTTGGGCATACGGATCTTACGGTCGAAGCGACCCGGGCGCATCAAGGCGGGGTCCAGCAGGTCCGCTCTGAAACCGTGTGTGTGTATGTGGGGGGGGGTATAGAGGGATTACAAGAGAGGGGCCCCCGGGGGGAATGGGGGGGGGAGGGGAGGATTGTACGCAAGGAGGAGAAGAGGAGTCCACTGCCCACTGCGCTCAATGCTGCGGGGGAAGGAGGGCTGAGGGTGATGATGATGATCATAGGTACGTACGGATACGTACATACATACACGCACACACACGCACCTGTTCGTGGCTCCCAGAAACACCACCCCGGTGTCTGGTGTGAATCCGTCCATCTCCGTCAGCAACTGGTTGAGGGTTTGTTCGCGCTCTTCGTTGGTTTTGGCCGAGTCTGAATTGACACGCGGGTTGGGGGGAGGTTGGGGGCTTTGAAGGGTTTGACATGCGAGAGAGTGGGTGGTACGGGCGGGGGCCTCTGAGAGCTCGACGGGGGGGAGAGGTGCCACCTAATCGGAACAGGCCTTGGGATAAAACACATGCACACACATACACACGCACAGTCTCAAAATCATTTCCCCCTCCCCCCCCTTCCATTACACCTACACAAGCCCCCTACATCCCTACAGGAACCCTCCCCCATGCATCGTTTTCACCCACATAAATATTCCACCGCTTCCCCCGCCAAGAAAAACCCATTCGCACCATTTTCCGCACGCCTGAGTCCCAATGCGTCAATCTCGTCCACGAAGATGACACACGGCGCGGTGGCCCGTGCCCTCTTGAACAGGTCCCTGACTCTCGCAGCCCCCAGCCCCACAATACCCTCCGTGAACTCCGTGCCGCTCATCTGGTAGAAGGGCACCATGGCCTCGCCCGCCAGCGCCTTGGCTAGCAGGGTTTTACCCGTACCTGGGGGAGGAGGGGGGAAAGACGAACCACGAACGAGTGAAGGTGCTGTCAGGGCAAGAGTGTACCAAGAGTAGGACTGACCAGAAGGCGTTTTTGAAGGCGGGAAGGGGAGGGGAATGATTTG